GATTCTAAAGTTTTAGATTTAATACATTCTGATATTTGTGAATTGAAGGTGAATTTGATAAATGTGAAATTTGTGCTAAGTCTAAATTAACAAAGAAATCTTTTCCAAGTGTTTCTCGCAAAGATTCTAAAGTTTTAGATTTAATACATTCTGATATATGTGAATTGAATGGTATGTTAACTAGAGGAGGAAAAAGATACTTTATCACTTTTGTTGATGATTGCAGTAGATATATGTATGTTTATCTTTTAAGAACAAAAGATGAAGCATTTGATATGTTTAAAAAATACAAAACAGAAGTTGAAAATCAACTTGAAAGGAAAATTAAAGTATTACGTTCTGATAGAGGTGGTGAATATTTTTCTGATAATTTTAATACTTTTTGTGAAGAACATGGCATTATTCATCAATGTACAGCACCTTATACTCCCCAACAGAATGGTTTAGCCGAAAGAAAAAATAGAACTTTACAAGAAATGATAAATTGTATGCTTAATAATGCTAAGTTACCTTTAAATTTATGGGGAGAAGCTTTGTACACAGCATGTTATATTCATAATAGGATTCCCTCTAAAAAGTCAAATATAAGCCCTTATGAGTTATGGAAAGGTAGAAAGCCTAATCTGTCATATTTTAAAGTGTGGGGGTGTTTGGCTTATTATAGAGTTCCTGATCCTAAAAGAACAAAACTTGGACCTAGAGCCTTTAAAAGTGTTTTTGTCGGATATGCTGAAAATAGCAAAGCATATAGACTACTTGATTTATCTTCTAATACTATTGTTGAATCTAGAGATGTTGAATTCTTTGAAAATAAATTTTCTGTAGATTCTGAAAATGTTGAAAATGTTCCTATTCTGCTTAACTCTAATAATTTTTCTAGTTCTGATTTTCATGCTAAGGAAACGAATATATCTAAAGAAATATCAGAGCCAAGAAGAAGTACTAGAGTAAGAAAAGAGAAATCTTTACCTTCAGATTTTATTTCTCCTGAACAAATTATTTTTCTTGTTGAAGGTGATAGGAATAATAATGTTTTAAATAAACATCCTATAAGTTTTAATCCAGATGATGATCCTAAAACCTTTATAGAAGCAATGTCATCTAGAGATGCTTCATTTTGGAAAGAAGCTGTCAATGATGAAATGGATTCTATAATGGGAAATAGTACTTGGATTTTAGTAGATTTACCTCAAGGATCAAAGCCAATAGGATGTAAATGGGTTTTTAGAAGAAAATATCATTCTGATGGTTCTGTTCAAGCTTTTAAGGCTAGATTAGTAGCCAAAGGGTTTAGACAAAAAGAAGGCATAGATTATTTTGATACATATGCACCTGTCGCACGTATAACATCTATTAGAATTCTTATTGCTTTGGCATCTATACATAAGTTATTTGTGCATCAAATGGATGTCAAGACTGCTTTTTTAAATGGAGATTTAAATGAGGAGGTTTACATGGAACAACCGGAAGGTTTCATTCTTCCAGGAAATGAAAGAAAAGTATGTAAACTAATTAAATCTCTTTATGGTCTTAAACAAGCACCAAAACAATGGCATGAAAAGTTTGATTCTGTTATTCTATCTTATGGTTTCAAACATAATAGTGCTGATAAGTGTATTTATTCTAAATTCACTGATAAATATGGTGTGCTTGTCTGCTTGTATGTGGATGACATGTTAATATTCGGCACTAATATGATTGGCATAAATGAGACTAAAGAGTATCTATCTTCTATGTTTAAAATGAAAGATTTAGGAGAAGCGGATACTATTTTAGGGATCAAAGTTAGAAAACATAGTGGGGGTTTTTCTTTAAGCCAATCACATTATATTGAAAAAATAGTGAATAAATTTAATCATCTTGGTTTTAAAGAAGTTAACACTCCTTTTGATCCCAGTGTCAAATTGACTGCCAATTCTGGTAGAGCTGTAGCACAGCTTGAGTATGCTAGTGCAATTGGTTCTTTAATGTATGTCATGCATTGTACTAGACCTGATATTTCATTTGCTGTATGCAAATTAAGTAGATACACTAGTAATCTAAGTGTAGAACATTGGAAAAGCATTTCCAGGATTTTTGGATATTTAAAGAAAACCAAAAATCTGTGTTTGTTCTATAATGATTATCCGGCTGTATTAGAGGGATACACCGATGCAAGCTGGATGACTAGTGTTGGAGACAACCAATCCACTTCTGGAATGGTTTTTACACTTGGTGGAGGAGCAGTTTCTTGGGCAAGCAAGAAACAAACATGTATCTCACACTCCACCATGGAATCTGAATTCATTGCTTTAGCAGCAACTGGTAAAGAGGCTGAATGGATTAGGAACTTATTACTAGATATTAAGTTATGGCCTAGTCCAATGCCTCCCATCTCTATCTATTGTGATAGTCAAGCCACTTTGTCAAGGGCTTATAATTGTACATATAATGGTAAGTCTAGACACATAAGTCTAAGACATGAATATGTGAGACACTTGATACAAGATAGTGTCATAACTATTGTCTATGTCAAGACAAATAAAAATTTGGCTGATCCATTTACAAAACCTCTAGCAAGAGAGGTAGTAAAGATGACATCAAGTGAAATGGGGCTGAAACCTTATATTTAAAATCACCAGGAATGGTAACCCAACCATTTACTAGAACTAAACTGGTTAAATGGTTTAAATGGGTAATAACAAGTTTCTGAAAGTGATTGATTGATATTGACGGATTAAGCCCTAAAAGATAATGTTAATATCGTCCATTACGAAATAAGAGGATGAGTTATGCTCTTAATGAAAGTCTAATACATTATTGTTGTGTGTTTAAAGTAATGGAAAACACATTGTAGACGTTTCACCTATATGAACTTAGAAGTGGTGCCGCTTCTTAAAAGAACTAAAGGTTTGTTCTTTAAAGAGTTCATGAACCAGGAATAAGCACAAGGCCATAATAGTGCTAAAATATTAATTCTCATTAAAACAAGAGATTAGTGTATGTACAATATTCTCCGGTTCTATCACAAAGAGTAATTAGTTTAATGTTAAGGCAACTAACGACTTTGATAGAACTTTGAGGTATTTGTACTAAGTAAAGGTTTAAATCGAAAGATACCTCTACATATGTATACTTATCTCATTTTGTACATATTGCAGATTATTTTTAAATATAGTACTATTAAAATGTTTTTTTAAAACAAAGTGGGGGATTGTTAGTATTTGTTTGTAAAAAAAACAAGATAATCCCACATTGGAATTTTGAGCATTGTTTTAGAGGTTTAAAAGCATTGAATGCTTAGTGGGCTTTGAATAATGGATCAAAATATAGGCTTCTAAACCCGCGTGCGGGTAGCGCGAATAATGCACGATTTTGACGCGATTATTAGACGCACTTAGCACTTAGACGCTTGCCGCTACCGCTTAAATGTTCTATTTTTATATATATAATTATATATTGAATATATTTTATTTTTAATATTATTTTAAATTTTAAAAATTATGAAAAGACAAGACTGTTGAAAAGTGGCTGTTTAATCCAATGGGTGTTTTGAAAAGTTGTGACTGTTGGAAGCACCTTTTCAAAATCTATAAATAGTTTATATTTTCAGATATCACATATAATTCTTTCTCTGGATCTTTTCTATCAAAAAACTTCTGCAATATTACAAACTTGTTTCACAACGAATTAAAGAAAATTCCAGATTTGCTTACTGGAATTTTCATTTTCTGTTGTATCCTGGGAAGAAAATTTGCATTAACCCGAAGCAACTTTGAATATCAAGTGTGGGCAAATATTTCTTTAAGGAAAGTGTTTCACGCCTCAGAATTTCTGTCTCCTTCAATATTAAAACTAACAGCTGCTATAGCATACCCCTGTTTATGAACTTATGCTGCAGTGTTGGGTGTGACATACAAGTCATGTGCACACATATAAAAGAATAAACTTGGATATGTAGACACTCCAGGCTCAGGCACCTCTAGTTGCTTGGGCTTACTCTTGGTATATCTTAGACAACGTTGTTTGATGGTACGGTGATCTTTCTTCTAACATGACAACATCATTTTACACTGAAATAAATAGTCTACTTGGAGCAGCATGCATGGCATGTTGATTTCGGAAGTGATGCCTTTTTTCATCCTATATTCTTTTATTTAACTTTATGGTAACTCATCTTCTTGCCCTCCATCATCATATATAAATCATATATAAGACATGAGAGTTGTAATAAAAAGACTTATGTAATGGTCCCGGCCAATTGCATTAATAACGAAAAAAAAAAGAAAAATAAAAGATTTAAGCCGTTGGATAGATTTAGAGATTATTACATTGATCCAGCGTTTTACATCACTTGCTACGTCTATAACTATTATTTAAGAAAAACCTCTACTTTTGATCATGTGTGTCAAACTTTTAAAAACCCACAAATTACCCTCAATGCTTATAACTCTTTCAACTCTTAAGGGGAAAATTTGAAAATTTTAAAGAAAACTAATAAATTTTGTTGTGGAACACGCGTAGCACATTCTCAGTGTGACCGATCATAGATTAGGGAGAACAAGAAAAAGAGGTGGGTTATTTTGTTCTTGAATTCTTGGATAGAGACACTAAACACAAATTGACCCCCAAAAAACTTTACATAATGACATTCTATTATGATCAAACAATATAAGTTTAGTTAATAAACATGTACTGTACGTATACGCATCGCGTACACTAGAGTACTAGTTATTAATAAAATAGATCAAAATCATTAAATACTTTATCATGACCTTAATCTCTCTTTCTTCTGACCCAAAGCATAATGATTTATAACCAATATTAACTGAGAAAGAGTCCAATTGTTTGATTGAGCCCTTGCTTCAAGTTATAACCAAGTCAAACGAGATTAAAAGAATCAATTATATAAATGGAATAAAAGACTTTTAGTTAGTCTTTTAATTAAGAAACAAAGAGCAACATCTCACCAACTCTTTTATCTCTCCGTCTCTCTTTCTTCAAAATCCCTCCACAATCATCATTCACAAGGAGAAAAACACCATGAAACAAATCAAAGTCTCTTTCCTCATCTTCATCCTTTTCTTCATCATCTCAAATACCAAAGCTCAACAAGAATACTCAGGCAACTCAATACTAGACTGTGACCATCAAAGCACATCACCTCCATCTCCTTCTTATCTCTACACCTGCAATGGCCCCAGTCAATCCTGCCAAGCCTTCCTCATCTTCAAATCCCTACACAGTCACAATTCAGTCAAGGACATATCATCTCTCTTTAACACTGACCCTTTTGAGCTTGCTCAAATCAACAACGTCTCGGATTCCTACACTTTTCCCAGCAACAAAGAAGTCATCATTCCCGTGAATTGTTCATGCTCAGGTCAGTATTATCAAGCAAATACATCTTATGTTATAGATGACAATGATACATATTACAGTTTAGCCGTTAACGAGTATCAGGGTTTGAGTTCTTGTAGCGCTCTCATAGGCGAGAACCCTTATAAACCTGAGAAACTATTTGGCGGTCTTGATTTGTTAGTTCCTCTTCGATGTGCATGCCCTACAAAGAATCAGACTCAGGATGGTACAAAGTATCTGATGACATACTCTCTCAATGAGAATGACAATCTTTCTGATCTTAGCGAAAGATTTAATGTCAGTGATGACAAAGTTGGGAATGCTAACGGGTTTGTTGATCCAGACCCGGTTGTTTATCCATCCACCACAGTGCTCATCCCATTGCCAAGAAAACCCTTGAGCTCGCAAACTCAAATTTATCACCCACTTGAGTACAGTCCACCTCCCCGTTCATGTCCAATCATTCGTAAGGCTAAAAGATTAACTACAGGACTTCATGTAGGTATTGGTGCAGCTATTTCTGTTGCAGTTCTGTTTCTTATCGTTACAGTTTTATTGTGGCTTCGAAGAAAGAAGATGAAAAGAATGGTGATGAAGAATAACAATGTTGTATCAAAAGATATTGCTAACGCCGTGTCAATAATAGACTGCCCATTGAAGATATTTCTGGTTGAGGAAATAAAAGAGGCGACTAAATATTTCAGCTCAGAGTGCAGGATACAAGGATCAGTGTATAAGGGAATAATCGGCGAAAATGTGTCTGCAATCAAGAAGATAAGTAAGGATATGTCACAGGAAGTTAACATACTGCACAAACTCAATCATGTCAATATTATAAGCCTCCATGGAATTTGTACAGGAGAAGAAAACTGCTATTTAGTCTATGAATTCATGGAGAACGGGTCTCTGAAGGATTGGCTCAAGAATCCTAATCGATCTGGGCTCTTGAAGTGGACCCAAAAGGTTCAGATTGCTCTGGACATCGCTAATGGGCTCGATTACATACACAACTTCACATATCCGCCATATATTCACAAGGATATAACGAGCAGTAATGTTCTCCTTAACGGGAAATTGAGAGCTAAAATAACAAACTTTACACTGGCAAGATCATCAGACTGTAGAAAGTCCGGTTCCTACTTAACAAAGAATGTTGAGGGTACTCTCGGTTATATGGCACCTGAGTTCATAGAATCTGGACTCATAACGCCGAAACTTGATGTATATGCATTTGGGGTAGTTATATCGGAACTTATTACAGGAAAGAAAGCTATAAATGTAAGCAAAGGGAGAGAAGAACTGTTATCGGAATCGATAGTTTCCATTGTAGAAGGAAACAATGCAGATCGAGAGCTTATGGGCTTCATGGAGTCTACTATGAGAAGCATAAGCCCTGTAGGTTTAGTAACGGAGGTAGCAAAACTATGTGTGGCTTGTTTGGCAAGAGATCCAGAGAGGAGACCTAGCATGCATCAGGTTGTCTCAGTTTTGACAAGGGTTCAAGTAGATTCACAGATGTGGGCTTTGGCATACCAATAGAACTTGATGGAGCTTTAGCTAGGAAAAGTAAAATATTCTGTACATAAAAGAAGCTTATAGTTTGCACTCTTTACCCATATTCAGGGAGTAATACTTTTTAACGTATAGTATTGTTGGCAATATAGTATGGCGTATCATCTTCCATTCTGTGTTCTGTTAGTTTTTTTCTCAGCATTCTGAAACTCCCCAGTTATCTTTATTACAGAACACAGGCTAAAACAGACGTTCACCTGGTAGGAGTTTAACATAACTCTAGAGAATAAACTAAATGAAGTTTAAGAAACAATAAGAAATTTTAAGCAAGTGGAAATTTTCTCTTCCACCAGATAATGACTTACACTCAGTTCAAGGGTTGAGAAATGCAAAAAAAGAAAAAAAAAAGAACAAATTTTCTCTTCCAAGTTGGTTTATGTTTCCCATCTTTCCTAAAACAATGATACATATAATTTCCTGGGTAAAATTGGGCATAAGAAATGATTAAGATGTATATTTTTCGGAATTATTCATAGCTTCCATTCATAACTACTTGAAAATCCACTGAACAAGCTACCCGAACAATATCTACAGTCTAACAGCGAAGATATCTAAATAACTTCTTGTTCTTTTTGCCTTTTTTCCCCTTTCCTTTCTTCTCTTCCTTTTTGCTACCTTACAGCACAATAAGAACCCTAAACTGCCAGCAAATTTACAATACTCATTGAGAAAAATCAACGGGCGATAATGGGATTATTAATCCCAACAGTCTCCCCAGAATGAGAACTCAACCTCGTTTCAAGCTCACCACTGCTCGAGTGAGCAAGAAGCGAGAGGCTTAACGCTATATCACACATCCTTGGCCTCTGCAATGAAAGCTCTGAAGTGCAAGCCCTCGCCACCGATGCCAGGCTTAAAGCTCCCTCTATAGGATAAAACTCGCCAAGACTAGAATCCATAAATTTCCTTAGTCTCTCCTCAACCTTCTCCTCAGCATAAAAAACCAACCTTATCTCCTTCAACAATTCTTTGGTTCCTACAGCCCTCCTGCCTGAGAGCAACTCTAATAGGACAATCCCGAAACCAAAGATATCAATCATTGGGGATATAGAATTTGATGCAGCTTGGGCATTAGAGAAGTTTGATATCTTAGCCTTGAAATTAGAATCGAGAAGGATGCTTCTTGTACGAATATCTCTGTGAACAATGTTTGGCGTAGTATGCTCGTGCAAATACTGAAGGCCATTAGCAACATCCAAAGCTATCATCAGCCTCTGCTTCCATGAAAGAAAGTACACAGATCTCGAAGAGGATGCATTTTCTGGGTACAACCATTTATCCAAAGACTCATTCTCTACAAATTCATAAACCAAGAAGCATTTCCCATTAATTCCTGTAGAAATCCCAATCAACTTCACTAAGTTTGCATGATTGACCTTTCGTAGTATATTTACCTCCTGTGAGCCATCACCTTGCATTTGCTTCACAGCAAACACTTCTCCTCCACAGAGGATGGCTTTATAAATTGAAGTACTGATTCTAAATTTCTGATCTAAATTCCTCGTGGCGTCTAAGATCGTTTGGGTCTCAAAGATGACTGGCTTGTCTATGTACTCTGTTAATCCGGTCAATAGCTTGTCTGCTACCCTAGGACTGAAATTTTGATCAGTAGATGAGGTACTCTTTAATTGAAGGAGACCGGCGGTTTCAATACTAGAAGTGACTAGAAGTGATACGAGCCAGACACTTCCGAGGCCACTGTTTACAGTAAGCAATGACCAAGAAAGATAATAGTATCAAAGCAAGAACGGAGCCTAACAAGCTCGAAACAAGGACGAGTGCGGTATTAGACTTGGCATTCTGCTTCTCACGAGAGGAGGTGTTGTAGTAGCGTGATGGAAGTAGTGGGAGCCTTGAGACTGGAATCAGTATAGGAAAAGCAATTGCATCACTGAAATTTCTATAGTTGTTAGCAATGACTATGGCTTCAGATGATGTATTCATTTTCCTACTCAGTGAAGAGATGTCGTCTTCTCGTTGCCAAACGTAAGTTACAAGGAATTTGAATCCCTGATCCAATTGGGTCTTGGAGGGGCACTGGCAGTAAATAGGGAAAATGACTTCCTGCCCAACCTTCAGACTGGCGGGAACCAGCATCGGATTTGAATCTTGGACGACCTGATAATCCGTAAGATTCTCAAACGCACTGATTGAAACGAAGTAAAAGCTGTCTCCAGCCTTGATCTCATACGTGGTGTTGACAAAGGATCGGTTTCCGGTGCAGCCACATAAAATCGGGACAAAAACAAGTTGGTCAGGGAAAAAAGTGACATCCTCCGATGGTAGATTATTTGCTGTCATTATAGAGAGACGGCTGACACCAAAGAGATCAGAAACCTGACCGAGTTCAATATAGTCAGGGGGCTGAGTCCGGTATGTGACGTAAGTTTTACAGGGTGAAGCCGAGCATGAGAAATCAGTGATATTTTTATCGGTTGATTGAGCAGAGATAATGGAGGCTGTCAAGTTGAGAAGAAGGGTTGGGAGAACAATTTCAATGAGGAAGAAGGATAGCCCCATTGAGTCCTAGGGTGCTTCCGGTTGGAGTAAGTTTGAGCTCCGACTATAGATAAATCTTGGGGGTGAAGGCAGAGCTCTCGGTGGCGAATTTTCAAATGAAAGTCTCCTAATTATAGAGGGGTTTTGTCGTGGAGTAAGTTTATATGATTCTATTTGTTTTCTTCTCCCATCAAAAGATCCCTCAAAGTTGCATCCTACTCCCTTTCAGCTCAGATGTCTCCACATTATAGTAGGTATAAATCATAATCATCTCGAGCCAATTCAACGGGCTGCAACTTGCTTACTAAAACAATTCCATGTTCTCACATACATCAAGTGTATGAAGTATAATATTGCAGGCTGACTGAGAAGAAAACACTTTAAATTATTTATTGGAATAATCCAATATTTTCCTATTGCTAAAATATACTCTGACACAGACACCCTAATGTCCTCCAAATTGCAATCATCTACCTATAATTCGCCACCTCAACAAGCAACGAAGAAATAAAATTTCTTAGGAATTTAAATTACGACAAACTTGAAAAAAATGGTTGTTTTCTACCATCTTAATAGTTCATATGGAGAAATTTCCAATAAGAAGCTCAAGAACTGTGTGGTTAGCTAGGAAAGAAGACAGGTACCAACAATATAAGATTTTGATCTAAATTCAGGCGCATTGGTGAAGAAAAATTATAAAAACAGGCACAAGCACTTTGGGTGAGACTTGTTCAACAATTGCTACAGTTACTCCTTAGCATCACACGCTTGATAGTTACTTCTTTGTCTAAATAATAATAATAATAATAATAATAATAATAATAATAATACACGACAGTTACTAAATGCATACTTTGTCGTTTTGAGGTTTGAACCTGATTTATCACCAAGTTACATAATTGGCAAGACAAATTTGAGAATACACAGTGTCAAGTGTAATTGCAACATAAAAATATTTACAAATTAAAACTGCATTAGTGCTGAACCTGGACCAAGTTTATCAAACAATTATCTAACCGGTGCTTTAATTTATATAAGCCACCTCATAACTTGTTTAGCATGTCTAATCCATTTCTCAATAACCCAGAGAATGGCCATCAACATTTTTATGTTTCACTTCACATGCTTTAGATTAGACCTTCATAAATTATAATCATTAATAAGAATTTCAAAAGAAATAGTAAGTCATACATCAAATAATAGGTCATGCATATACACAAACAAATTCTGAATGTTTGAAATATGCATACTGAGAAACTACAAAAATGTATATGCGAACAATCATATGGAGGGGACTAGCATATGCCAGACAACTAAGGAGCATCCAAATCAGATGAACCAAAGTCATTTATCTTTCATATGTGGACTTTTCCTAAGTATACATAATAAATTTCATTATGCTCCCCAGGCACTCTTAAAATATATGACATATTAACATTACAAAAATATCAACTGCTACCGGTTATTTAAGGGGAAAAGGTACATCAAGCATATTTATTCAGAGATATCGCAATGACAAAATAAAAATAGAGGGCATCATAAACTTTAAGCAAAAACCTGTTGTTGCAAGCCCTTTGCTTGATTGATGTTGAGATGCCTCGTTACTAAATGCCAAAATCAAAGACTTCATATCCTGGATCGTGTCAAACAATAAGTTCACAGAAAATACTTATACACTGACGAATAACAGAACTTACGGCAAATTCCACACTCTTGGCATCTGCCACAAGACGACAAGAATGAAGCCCATATTCAACTTATTAGTTATTGTTCCATTAAATACTCAATGTAAATATCAAAGCAGCCGTACATGTGTGGGAACTCCAAATTATCCAATGTCTCGTATAATTCTCAGCCTACGAACTTTAAATTGATAGCTGAGCAATAAATTTTTGTAAATAGATATGGCAAAGTAGTCATTTTTTAGAATGGGAAACTGCCGGTCAATTTGATATGCTCCAAGGTACGCCTTAGACCATATTGAAGAACTGCCTGGTTACCAGCTCGGAAACCATCTCCATATGCAGCTGAAGTATCTGATTCAATCTGGTGCTTGAAAAAGTCCCCCAACTTCCTCTCAAATTGTGATCTAGTTCCCTTCTTTGATGCCGCGGATGATGAAGAAGAGGCTGAGGAGGTGGATGCTACATTGCTGCCAGACCCTGACATAATCTCTGAATCTAGCCACATATGAGCCAACACTTGGCAGATACCTTCTTCAACTTCTTGACTAAGAGTGCGGTACCCTGTTAACAGAAGATCAGGATTTAGGGATTAGGAATAAATATGAATTTATTAAACCATTAGTAACTATGAGTAAATTTCACAGTACTACCATGATCTTTGGGTACTTTGCATAAAGCTATCATAATCATTCGTTATTAGAGAAAACTACAGTAAACTGTTTTCACTAGACTACCGTTTTTTGACAAATTTTCTATAATGTACTTTATGTATCTTTTTACCTCTATGAATTTTGTGGGTCAGTGGGTACGAACAAGGGTAGTGTAGACTTTTTATAATAGACGTTCCTTAAAATGATCATTGCCCCCTCAAAGTATTGGTGAACTCTCAAGTTGCTTCCTAAAGTATCAATTTTCCTATTTTCCCTCTTAAACTATGTGTATGTATCCAATGTGATCATTTTGCGAGTTTATGGTCAAATATTTAACAGATTAATGATGTGATAGTGTTTTTTTTTTGCATTTCTTGTATTTTTTGCAATCTAAAAAGTATTTTTTTTAATTCATAAAAAAAGTAGAGGTAAAAAAAACTGTGAGAAAGTATTTAAAAAAAGTGAGAAGGTAGTTAAAAAATTATTTTTTAGTTTGGAGAAAAAAGAGAAACCATCAAAACCATGAGGAAACACAAAAAAAAATACTGTTACATCATTAATCTATTAAATATTTAACTATAAACTCACTAAATGGCCATATCGAAACCATATACATAGTTTGAGGGGCAAAATAGGTAAACTGATACTTTAGAGGGAAATTTGAGAGTTCACTAATATTTTAAGAAGGAATGATCATTTCATCCAAAGATGTTAAAGCCAGTAGCAACAATTTCCAGTACTTCTACTTCATGATAATTCTCCATTTTTTTTGTAGTTTCTCTAATAAAAAAAGTTACATGTAGTGTTGTGCAAACCAACACCCACAAACAACAACAACAACAAAACACACACACACACACACACACAAAGTAATGGTAGTTTCATGAAATATACCCTTACAACTATACCAATAACATGATGTGTAAGTTCCATACAATTGCATGTCAAGGATACACTTGTTGTCTGAGGAATTAGCTGATGTACATACCTTTTTCTTTAAATGCTTTAAGAAAGTTAAAGTTGTGAATATATGTTGAAATAATATGGGCAAAATTGAGAGCTAGTATTGGCTCAAGGACCAGGCTCATAAGTTCTGCATTCAAGTTTATATTCTATTACATTTTTTAATATTTGCCTTCTGACCTCATTGTTCTTCTCTTGGTTATCATCATATCTGAATTAAAAAAGCGGATAGCTCCCACCCTCTCCCAAGAAATTGCAACTACCATGCCTCGATTTTTTTAACCCCAATAGATCCAAAAAACCTCTCAGACTAAGTCTCTCTGCAATTTTTGCAAGTTATTTCTGTCGGTTATTGAACTGCTATATGGAATTTTATTGCTAGTTAACACCTATTAGTGTGAATGACAAGTTATCTGTATTATACTATCTGAGCTTTTATGCACCAAATGATGTGAATTTTATTCGATAAAGTACCTTTAAGCCGCAGCCAAGCATGCATCATCTCGTGTGCCAATATGGACCCCGTCAATAATCTGCTCAAAAAGAAAAGAAATCTGTAATGTTTTCTAAATTTTACAATTAAATGACTGGGTAATCCAGTTGAATAAGAAAAGAAATCTGTAATGTTTTCTAAATTTTACAATTAAATGACTGGGTAATCCAGTTGAATTCCTCAGCGAAGGGAGACAGAAAGGGAATTCTAAATTTTACAATTAAATGACTGGGTAATCCAGTTGAATTCCTCAGCGAAGGGAGACAGAAAGGGAAAAAAATTATCTGAGCCAGAAAGAAATAATGAAGATAGGAGTTACATTAGAAGTGTGAAAAATAAGGTTATTATAGATAGGGCCACAAAACAAAAGATTTGAATGGGAAACAAGAACCAAACCTTCAGTTCCATTTAGAATCCTAACTCATATGGGTAATCAATTACTTAAAAAAAACAGAAGACTACAGATTATATACAAGAAACTATGACCCAATTGTTAAGGTTTTCTTTTAGCACCTACTACAAAATATAGTTTGCAAATATTCAGCAAAATACATAAAGGAACAAGTTTATCAACTAGAAAACATGAAAAATGCATCACGATGAGACCATAAAAGAATACTAAGTGAAATTGAATAAGGAATACCTTGGTAGTCCATACAGAATAAGAATTGCAGTTACTTCACACCGGCGTGTAAGCCTATAAGGCTCTGTGATCATATCCACTGTTCTATTTCCAGCCCCAATCCTAGGCCTTCTTAAAATCTGACGCAAAAAATAGTTTAACTTATTGATGAATTATACACTATTCAATATAAATGTAATATTTTTAAGTAAAACATAGAATCCACATTAAAGTTGTTACTGATAAATCTTACAGTGCTGACTGTCTGTTCTTCAGAAAGGCAGAGACCTCTAGTTTCAGGGAGATGATGAGGCCCCTGAAACGGGAAATGGTCCAGGAAGGAATGAGAAACTATATGATAATTTTATATGCAATGTTTTTTCGAGTATCAGATGCCTTACACTTTTTTCACCTTCCATGGCCTCATTAAGGGCTTGTCTCTCAACCAAAAGTAATGGAATCTGTTGTTCCACTTTCATATTCAAACCTTCATAAAATTCTTGTATATCCAGATAAAGAGGTTGGCATTCACTGGTGTCCATTATTGAAGAATCCAAACATTCTAGACATAGCTTCCTCCCATCATCAAGGGCCACATATTTTGTATCTCTTGCCTGAAAATTCATATGAAATTAAACAGAGCAGAAACTAGCAGCAAATAATACCTCAGTGATACATGCTCCAAAGTAAAGTTGAACTGGACAGAAGTTAAATGAAAATTTGAATGAAATGAAATAAGCCATCATGCTTCTGAAGGACATGCACTTGTCAAGTGAGCTAAAAAAGAAAAACACTAACAATAAATTTTCAATTCTTAAATTAAGGTCTTAAATGGATTCAAATCCATAATTCACAGCCTATAATGAAGTCGTATTTGCAAGAAGTAATTTGACTGACCTCCATTCTTTCACAACTGCAACATCGTGGAGTACCATCGACCTCATGAGAAGGACAATACTTTTGAAGCCAGAAAGGATGCGCTCTATATTCAATGAGGCCATTGATATTTGTAGGAATCTATAAAAGAGATCAACATGAACATCAACAGTAGGGTTTTTATTGGAAATACATAATTAGAGAAATTAGCAAAGCATGATAATATTTCCATCAGATATTCAAGAACATTGATATTTATAGTACATCTCCACATACTTTCAAAATTTTCAAACATAATAGCTAAAGTTTATTAACTATGACGAGCGGAAAGGCCTCCAGTCTAAAGGTAATCATACATGACTCTATCCTAACCATTCCACACAAAGCAGAGTGAAAAATCACAGGAATCAATCTATTGTTAAAGAAACAAATAAATTGGAACAGCGGGTTAAATCATCTACGAAGTAAGAAATCATCAAGGGCTAATATTTCGTGCTAAGCTGAAGTTTGTATCATTGAGGTATAGACCATGTTTGTGGAAATCATGAGTTTGTCAAAGAAGAAGCTAAGAGTATGTACTGGTTTTAACATATACTGAAAAGGGCTAATATTTCGTGCCACTGTATGTCTGTATTTCATTATTTGTTTTAAAGCAGGACAATGCTTATGAAAAAAGATAAATGCAATTTGATAAAACTTAATGCAATAGTGCTTACAAATTGCTTGCAGACATCACACTTTGGGTGGTAATTTTCTTTGTAGCAAGACTTGTGATATGGATAGTTCCCAGACATAGAGAACTGTATCAAACAAACAATGAGCTCCAGACTGAACCTTAAAAAACAACCTCCCAATAATAATAATCAGCTAGTAATAACTTCATTACCTCGTAATCAGATATTGGCTGATTGCAAGCATGGCAACGAAAACACTCTGGGTGCCAAACAGCACCCATGCAACTAAGAAAGCGTCCATGACCAATTTCAGTGTTGCAACCAGCGCAAATCCTGCAAAGAATATTTTGAAGTTTATTATATGTGTTGAGAAATAGTAATCAAAGAGGACATTCAGTTCCCTCTCTTAGATGTTATTTATAATATCATAAATATAAAGAGACTTGTCCCTAACCAATATGGAACTAAACATGCATAAAGAAACAACTGTTAACACTCCCCCTCTAGCTGAGCATATATATTATATATGGTCAACTTGTTACAAATAAAATACACACACTCTAATCTATGACGAGGCTTCAAAAAACTCATAGTAGTCTTGATCTTATTATCTTTTACTTGAATGTCTTCAAATCAGCTAATCCCCTCTAGAGCTCCACTAATCAAACGATCCTCTTTAGGGATCCATCAACAAACGATTCTCTTCATGATCCACTAAACAAACGATCCTCTTCAGGGATCCATCCACAAATAATCCTCTCTGAGATCTGATCTTTCTTTAAGGATCCAATAACAAATGATCTTTCTTTAAGGATCCAATAACAAATGATCTTTTTTTAGGGATCTAATAAACAAATAATTATTCCTTGAAGGATCCAACAATAAAGGATCATTCTTTAAGATCCACCAAAGGAACTGAGAGAACAATATTCTCTGAACGATTCTCCAAAACGAACCAATTAAACAATTTTTACTAAACCAAACATCAAATCAAACCAACAGAATGATCTCCATTCTCCACCAAACCAATCACCAAAATCCAAACCAAACAAACTAGTTTTCTGCTATATCAATCAAAAAGTATGACAAGTGATGGATGAACAGTGTTTCTGATGAACAATGCCACGCGGATGAACATTATTTTTGTTACTGTTTCGGGCCGGATCTGATGGCGGGATGAACCGTGTTCCTGATGAACAGTGTCACGAGGGTGACAATATCTTTGAACATTGTCGGAAGTGGTAGCGACTAGATTGTCGGCTGAGGGTGAAGGTTAGGGTTTGATGGTGGAGGGTGGCGGCTAGATTTGGGAGGTTCGCTGTGATTTGCATAGATTTCATGTGGGCCCCACCTCAACTTTTGCACAGAGTAAAGGTGCATAAGGGTGTTGGTTTGGATGGACGGTTGGGATTTGATGAAGGATCAAGTGGATAGCTCTGATACCACGTTGAGAAATAGTAATCGTAGAGGATATTTAGTTCCCTCTCTTGGATGTTATTTATAGTATCACAAAGAAATAACTCTCAACAATATGTAAATAAACCAAATACCTAATGCAGTGACTAGTTTTGTACGTCCATATAATCAATGAGAAAATTCCATACAAATTTCACACTATGAGTTCTTAAACAAATCAATTTACGGCTCAGAAAAGTTCCAATTTCTGATAATCACCTTCTATGTCTTTTCTATCTATTAAATGTACAATAGGAACATTGACATAATTTAATCAAGCATACAGTATCTGAAAATTTAAAGATAAAACCAACAGCAGCAATTACAAGGATTTTGAATAATCCCAATTGTTAATAACGAGCTGAATTTCTACTTTCCATTTATCTATCAGGAGTCCAAGAATATATGAAATGAATAAATATGTTTAGTTATATTTCCTGCAGGATTCAAACAAAACAGTTCACTTGTTATCGCCTGAAATTCATCATGGCAATCAGTTATGAGCATGATCATTCAGCAGTCGCATTCACTACAGAAAGCTTTCAAATGCATAGATTAAGCATCAAGTCATTTATATTTAATGCAAACAATATCATAATGATTCTAGAATAGGGCAGAAGACAATTAGGAAGTGAAATGAGAAAGTAAGGTACCTGAACCCGGAGGAAAAGAGATATGGTGCTGGTTGATAATTTTGTTCGCTTTCACGGGGAGGAGAAGCAACATTTAAACTTTCTTGTAATGCCCTTGCAAGTTGTTCGTCCTCCTCCAAGTGATCGTGATTGTCTAATGCAAAAAAATAAAATTTGATAAAACATGATATATGCTATATAACGAAATAATTGACTCAAAAACAACTCCTAGAAAAGGGAGCTAAACCTAAGAAAGGTTTAGATCCTGATTCTGACAGATCAGAAACCTCTGCATCTTTAAGCTATTCGCCAGTTCCTTTGCTCATTATGACTAAAG